CATATATACATATATATATTTTTTTTACCGGAGCTGCTTTCTGCTCTGCTGAAAGCTCCTCATATCTCGCTGGATGCTGAGAAGCTCTTGCGTCAGAGCTGATTCTGCAGAAGATGATTCGTCTTCTTGATGAGGATCGTTAGACGTTCTCCTGATGGCTCTCAGGTTTGAGTCTTAAGAAAGGGAATCACAACACTGCATTGTTTGAGCTTGATTTTATTAATATATGTTTGATAAATGTGTTAGTTAAAAAAAGTCAACTGAAAAGGACAAAAAAACCAACCTGTATGAGCTGATATGGGGTGTATAAAAGGAGGAGTAGACTGATAAGCTACAAGTGGAGCCTCTCTGGAGCCTGAGCAGCTGGATTTTCCAAACTTGAAAAAAAAAAGAAAGAAATTTATGAAAGACTTAAGTTATATAACAAAAAGATGAAAGCCTGCTTTTACTCCTTGTGGTCCAATAAGAGATAAATACGTCTCTCTGAGTCCTTGATGTCATAAAYACAGCAGGAGGAAGGAGAACGTCCTGTTTTTCAGGCTGGAGAGGTGAGAGAGCGGTGGATGTTTGAGGTTCAGAAAGTGTCACAGTAAATATGAGTGGAGCTGAGGATGGTGCGGGGTTTTGGTGTGAGGGACCGCTCAATTCGAAGGGTTTCAGAGCTGCTTCAGCGCAGCGAAGGCCCAGTTCAGTTTTGGCACTAAGAGGGGAAAAACAGAAAAGCCTTTAGGTCAGACTGCAACCATCAAAAATGACACAGAAACATGCAGGATTGTCACTGAACAAACACACTCACTGCCTGCTCAGATCTCGCTGCTCCTCTGAGCCAGACGTGGAGACGCTGCCAAGTGTCGGCCCGGTCAAACAGAAGGTCACACTTTTTTTACGCGTTCTGACCTCCTGCTCTTTTGGTTGTCTGCACAGCGCCCGCTCTTTCCACCTCAGGGCGCAGCGTTTAACAACTCTCTGGAGACGCTGCGATCTCTGCGGGACACAGGCAGACCGGCTGAAATGACGCTCAGAGCTACAATTCACAAGAAGCACACACAAATCCACCCACGTGCTCCTGGCTGAACTGCGTCAGGCTCGTTGTGATATCGTTCATGTGCGCCGCATATGTGAGGATGCGTGACACGCCCTCCCTCAGCAGCTGGTCTCTGTAGACCTGAGCCGCTCTGGCTGCCTGCTCCCGCCTKCTGCATTGCTCTGCAGCCCACAGCCTCCACCCAGATAACACCTGCGGAGAGTTCACCGAGCAAAATCCAGACACGATCAACAATGGGAGGYTGATTTCTGCAAAGCATTCGGTGTTCAGTTCTGCTGGGAGACAAAAATGTGGAGGCGGGTKTTACCTTGGCCTGAAGGGTGAGGGACCAGAGCCAGAGAGCTCGCTCCGTCTGGCTGGCCTCTCTCCGCCTGTGCTGCAGCTGGTTGCAGGAGAAAGAGCACAAACCCTGCACTAAATTAAATGTAGGAAACCTCAGATACTTCTGTCTCTTCCAAGGTCATAAGGGATACACCTCATAACTCTTAAATACATAGTTACAGTGATAAGAACCATTCTTTGTCTACAGAGGAACCCAAGAGCTCTGCARACCAGAAATCCCACACAGACCCCTCTCCTCTACATAATAACAGTCTCAGTCTTAGATTAAACAGATTTTGCACTTTTTTTTCTCACCTTTCAGTTGCCTCGATTCATCTTAATCAATCTGACGATTCAAAAACAAAAACAAACCTTTTGTTTCCACAGCCCAAAGTACTTCTGGTACAGCTTCAGTCTCAACAGAACAACTTCTTGTTGCTTCATCACCTGAAGAACAACAWCATTTATGTGTTTTACTGCTGCAGAACTTTAAGCTGTTTAGAGATAATAACGTAACCTTTTCTCYCTGGTGCTGCCGGTGGTATCTGCTCCACGCTTTCAGAGTTTTAGACAGAAGTTTGGAGCAGTAATGCTGCCTGGCTTTCTCCACGTTTCTCCTCTGCCTGCGACTCTCTCYGGTTCGCTCTCTCCAGCGTCTGAACGATCGCAGCAGACGAACTGAATGCGGAAAACAACAAACATCAAAAAAGTGCAGAATGATTTGAGATCTCGATAGATTTTACAACCTGTGAATGACTTTAAAGTGTGGAGTGTTTTTACTATTTAAGCCTCCACTTACTGCACAAACTTATTTAAAAACACGTAAAACCTTTTAAAAACATTAATATGAGATCAAAATCAGTCATTTCCTCAGGCTTAGCTTTTAAAGTAGTGTTCATTTATTTTCTTATGATTAGACAAACATTACTTTATTTATATAGTATTTAGATATTCAGTGAAGTCTTTTGCCTTGATTTATTGTCCGCTGAAGTCGTCTGAGTGCTTCACTCTGCTGGTGGCGCTGCGACACTGCATGTGTTGTTGCTTCCCTCCAAACAACAAACACCTTTAACAGATAAAGTCAGCAGTCAACAATGTGCTTAAAAATATTTTAGTAATATTTTAGAGGATGAAGGCACATAATTTAAACCTTAAGCTGAAGAAACTGTTGAAAGTGGCTCTGGGCTTGCTGCTCTGCGACCGGTAGTGCCACTTTTTCTCTCCACAGAGTTAAAGCTTTCCTGAGGGTTTATGACTCAAAGTGATGATTCTGAAATCCACTTGTGGTTTCTAAATCGCAGAAATGAAAACCCACATTGTAAATGTTTGAGTTTATTACCTGAGAAAACGCTTCATTCGCTGCCTGTTGAGTTCTTCTGCTTGTTCGTTCATCTGAATCACGCGTGTGTGACGTTTCTGTGAAAACAGTCACCCATGAATCCACTTGATCATTATTTTATCACCACTCTTCTTTCGAAACGTAGTTTAATCTACAAAAACTAAGATTATTCACCCTCCAGGCCTCCAAGGAGAGTTTGAGGAGTTTAACTTCGTGGTAACTTTGAATCTCTTTCAGCCTGACTTTCTTTTCTTTCTGCTTCTGGACAAACTGATCACATACACATATACACACACTGAAACACAAAAATATAACACAGCAACAAAAGAAACTGCTCTCCTGATATTAGGATTGTAAGAATGAACAAATTGGAATTAATGACATCCATCAGCTTGCATCAGGGATGGGCACCTGGCAGCCCCCTGGGCCACATCCGACCCACGGGTGACTTCCTCCTCAATGTGCTCCCCTAAATATGTAACAATAATAACTAGAGAAGTTGCATTTCCTGTGAAAATGCTAGTGTGAATGCTTCATGCTGAAAACTTAAGCTGAAAGCTGCTGAAACTGAGCTGAAAATATTTAATAGGAAAAGTGTTAATGTGAGCTCACTTTGAAAAGCTGAAAGCAAAAAAGCCTAATTTTGCAGAACAACAGTGAAAAGGAGCACAAATCTAGTTGAAAACAGAAAACAGCTAAAAGTTAAGAGCTAAAATAGCTGAATATAGCTGAAAACATCTGTAAGAAGCATAAATAGTACTAGGTAGCAGAAAAAAGCAGAAGAATAGCAGAAAGAAGCAGATCTATAGCTAAAGTAGCATTAAATAGCTAAAATTAGCATAAAATTAGCTAAAGGTAGCAGCCACAATTTGAAATTACCACCCACTTGAAATACTTATAGTTGAAAAATAGCTAAAACAAAACATCATAAAATTACATAAGGGATAATTTGTAGTAAAATAACTAAATCAGCTGAAATTTTCATTAAAATAGCTAAAAAGTAGCTGAATTTTTTTTTAAATTAGCATAAGGACCACAAGTTTGCTAACCTTAGCTAAAAAAAGTTGTAATAGCTACAAAAAATGTGTTTTTAGCCTAAAAAATAAATTTAGCTAATAACAGGTGAACATTAGCTAAAATTGTAGCAAACAGCTGAATATAGCAGAAAACGTCTACAAGAAGCTTAAACAGCACAAAAGTAGCACAAAAACTTAGAAAAAAAGCAAAAGAATAGCAGAAAGAAGCAAAATTTTAGCTGAAATAGCGGGAAAAAAAAGCTAAAAATGCAAAACAGTATTTAAAATTACCACAAGAACATGAAAGAGCATAACCAGAACAAAATGTGTAAGGTGCTGTAAAGACTTAGAAACATTTTGAAGGATTTTATGGATGTTGAAAACAGCTGTATTCATTTTCAATGGCAAAAAAGTGGCTAAAAAAATGAAATAGCTAAAAAAAAAAAAGTATAAAAAGCTGAAATACCAAAAGTCATAGCACCCCTCACATGAATGAGCATTTTGATATATGAATTGTTGAAATAGCACATAAATTGTGGAATGACTTAGATGCCAAAAAACGTACGGAAGAAAAATGATCTCAATGATGTAAATGCTACGAAGCATTCACACTATAATCATTAGTGTCCTCTTCCATCATTCAAGTTGCCCATTCCTGACACCTCAAAACATTTTTTTTGAAGTTGCACAGATGCAGACCATGATCAACAGCTTTTTGTTTGATCATCTCTGATGCCCCACAGTGTACCGACTGAGTAAACACGTGACAAAAAGCACCTCTTTCCATTTCTCCACAGCCGATCTCGTACAGCACAAGTCATCCTGACCACAGGCCTGCTGCTCTCTGTGTTTTCTGAAACTCAAACAACATTAGCAACATTAGAGACCAGCTCAGGCGGATCAAAAAAGCTTCGACACCAAACGTCAAAAAAAGTTACTCTAAAACGCTGCATTAGTAGAAGAGAATGATAAATAAAGATGTTCGCACCTTATCCTCAGCTCCTTGAGTCTCCCTCCTTTGTTCCAGCTGTATCCAACTCTGTGGGGAATCTTTCTGGTTTGGAGCTGTTTTGTTTCACCACCAGAACTGACAACTTGAGGTCTTGATGGTTGCTTTAACTTTCTTACTGAATTAGTTTGCATCGTTGTTGTAATGATAACTCAAACCACTGCTACACACTACCACATAAAGCCATACCTCAAACAGCAATACTTCAATAAACTTTCGAGCCGCTGTTGTAGAACAAATGTTTCGTGTAAAAAAWAAAAAWRAAAAAAAAAGTCCTGTTTCGTTTACAAACTACCGAGGCGGGGTTTTGTTTTTCTTGTCACGTGACCGCCAACGCGGATATGTTCGTTTTTCTTACTGCCGGTGTGAGTGTTCCCGAAGCTGGCGGATTTCCTCCCAGAGAGTTTCGTTTTATGGACGGGAGTTGTACTGGCTGCTGTGTTCTCTTCCTCCTCGCTGTCCTCTGGAGGTGGTGGTCTGCCTTCTCTCCCAAACCCCGGGTCTTGGAAGTGGAGTAATTGTTCCACTCGAACAAAGCAGGTACAGCTCCCTTTTTTTACGTTATAGCCTACGGCCTATAGGCTATCGCACCTCCACTCACTTCCATTTTTGAAAGGAGCCGGCATTTCGCCATCCAATCAAAACGTTCGTTTCATGCGTGCTTTGCGTGATTACGTCATTTCACGAAAATTCTATTGTCGGGATATTTTGGCTATGCAAATTGAGTGATGACGTCACATAGACGTCATCGTAAAAAATGTACATATGCGATCATGTACATATTGTGAAGTAATCTGAATTTCTCTGAAGTTCTCTGCAACACCGGACCTGAAGAACTCTTCTGTGTTGACTGCCCTAGAGGAAAAAAAATGAAACCTTTTATGTGTTGTGTAACCTGTATGGGCTTCTACTGCGCGATACACATTCTGCCTCATTTTAAAGGGAAAGAAGAACATGAGGTGGTGGGACTTAACATGGCTACACTGGATTATTTCTGTGAAGAGCATAATTGCATGAAATCGATGTTCTGCCGAACTGATCAGACGTGTATCTGTATTTCCTGCTCTGCAATCGAACATTATGGCCACGATATAGGCTTAGCTGCTGCAGAAAGACCTGAAAAACAAAAGGAATTTCAGGAGAGACAAGCCRAGTTCCTTCAGAATATGCAGAATAAAGAGAACAGGGTAAAGAAGCTCCTACAAAGGGTGAAAGACCTCAAGAAAGAGTTAAACTGTGTGCAGAAATTGAACACTCGGTTCACAAGGCTCAGAGAGGAGCAAAGAATCTTAAGGCCACTGCGTGGACTCAAAAGAGATATTCAACGAAAGCAGGACCGGTTAACTAAGCTCAAGACAAAATATGCTGAGGTGGAGCAGTCCGTGTTAACAGAAAATGACATTAAATTCGTAAACGATTACACCTTATTTAAAGCAGAGTATGAGCTGAGAAACAAAAAAAATATCAGATGCTTCGACCATTGCAGCTTTTTGGTAAAAATACTCACCGGCTGGATAACCTAACTGCAGTGTGCAGCATCTATCAACTATGCAAATTAAGCGATGACGTCCAGTCCGTGTATGGAGGAC